GGTCCTGCTGAGTTTATAAGCACAGGAACGTCACCAATACGCTGAACACCCTTCTTTTGTGCAAGTCTGAGACATTTATATTGACATGTTAAGGGTAAAGGTTAGAATCTTTAATTTAAAATTAATAGGAAGGGCAGGGATTATGGTTTATGCTTTTCAGAAAAAATGAGTACTTGATCCAAAATGGAATTGAAGTTAGCTGTGTATAGTATCTGTATAAGCTTTTTTCCTTAAAGTACTGAATAGATTCACAGCAGTTTCTTCAGTCAGTAATCTAATAAATACCATTTGAAGTAGATACCTATATTTAAAATAGAGGCTGTTCTTTGCTTACGTTGCTTCTGTTTACATACAAGTAACCAAATAAAAACCGGACCATCTTCTGTTCAGTTATTTTCCCACGTGACCTATTTGCAAGGGAATGGAATTTGTAAAGTTGGAAATAGTTATTCTTTGGTGCTTCCTCAGGCCATAAACGTTAGATGAGCTTTGTGACCTTCCAAAGTTTAATGATGTCTTTGCAAAAAGACACCTTGCAGAGACTGAACGGAATCAATCTCTCGTTAAATCTGTAATTTTGTGGTCTTCTCTAGAGAGAAAAGGATACAACCTCTTTCCAGGTTGTTTCTTAAAGCCTAGATACTATACTTTTCTCTCTTTTTACCCCCTTTAGAATATTATTTATTATTTACAGGAAGTCTGGATTCTATATGTGGATAATCCTGATGCTTCGAGTTTTATTCTTGTGCCTTTTTGTGCATTGTAGCAGATATGTTCAACCTTCTTAAGTGTTAGGGCCTCTTCTTTCCCTGCTGGTTCCCTGGAATACCAGTTCTTTCTGTAAAACTGGAACAGTGGAAGACATGTCAACCAGTGCCAATCACTGTCATTATGTTGAGAAAAGGCACAGGTGATGGCATATCAAGCATGGTTTGATAACCTTTGTGTAAACTGGGTGCTGCCATCCACTCCAGGGATAAAAACTTGATCGTTTCCTTAGTAGGTTTGATCAGGAGAGGAAAGGGAAGATGTTTTAGGAAGATCTGCAAGTTCTCTTGATGTAGTCTCATAACCCTGCTAACTTCTGCACAAATAATAATTATACATCTTGAGCCTAAACCTTTTTGAGCAGGTGTGATGACAGGAATAATTTGCACACTATACTAGTCTGTATTTCAAAAGTGAGTATCACATGTGTGTTCAGAAATTAAATTTTGCCCTTGAGTCTCCTGAGAATTGTTATGCATTTGTTCTTGATGGCCTACCTTTCATTTTGGCTTCTCCAAGGAATCTGAGTTCTGGGCTTGATGCAGAAATTATTTGTCAGGTGTTGTATGATAGATAAGAATAGGTGAATGTAATGACTCCTATCATTTCTGAGCTTATATGGTGATTAGAAACTCTTTTGAAAACAGAACAAAAAAACTTCTCTTTTTTTCTAGTTTGAAAACCTTGCAAATATACTGAAACTTCCTGGCAAAAAGACATTTAACAATATGGACAGAGAATTTTTGGAAAAGAGGAAAAAAGATTTAAATGCATATTTGCAGGTAAGCTGTTATGTTTTTTTCGTTGTGTTCTAGGTTGGAATTCTTTTTCCTGAGGTAGAAAATTTGTTAGTATGGTTTTAAAAAAAAAAATAGTGTTGCAGGTGGTCATACAATCATAAAATAGTATACCATAAGAACTTCATATTATCTAATAAGTTTGCCTTTTCTTTCCTGTTTTGGTTTTATTCTCAGCTGGTTCTGTCCCAGCTCCTCTGAGCTGGTGAGGTTCCAGCTGTGTTGGTTTTGAGCTCTAAGCCACTTAACTTTCTTCCATTACGCTCATGTTTGTGCTCTTGCATAAGGATTGGCGTGGCACCCGCTCCGGCGCTGTAGCATAACCACACAGCTTCTCCATTCAGATAACGAGTGTATCAGCCCAACTAAAGGAATTCAATTATCCTACTTCATAGGGACTTCCTTGTCATTTAGTACTAAAGTATGTTGACCAACTCAATGGACATGTTAACAATAAATAATGAAGATGAATAAAACATTGTGAAATCTGATTGTTCTGTTTAGAGTGCTAATATTTTTTCCTTTGTGAGATATATGCCCCATTTTTAATAGTAATTTTTTTTTCAGTCACAGCTATTTTTTTTTTTCTTGGGAGTTTTAGAAGCAGTTCAAGTGTGTATTTTTCTGTGAGATGCTATAATTGGCATACTAGTTAAAATTATGAGAATTACCAAGAAGCATGTTGTTTCCATCTTGAGAATAGTGTAATGTTGGAATAAAATTTAGAGAATGAATGAGAAAATACATTGCAAGATGTAGTGTCTTTGATTGTGCATGGTAACCTTTTACTAAACTGAATGGTACGGCCTTTTTCATTATTTATTAAAAAGCACCTCTTAAAAATTATTTTACTCAGCTCTTGTTAAATCCTGAAATGATGAAGGCTTCTCCAGCTTTAGCCCATTATGTGTATGACTTCCTGGAGAATAAAGCCTACAGCAAAGGGAAGGGGGATTTTGCACGGAAGGTAAGAACATGTTGCACTGTCAAGGGAACTTTAGAGCATTCATTAGTGCAATGATTGCATTAAACAGAGATGTTGAACTGATATTAAACAGCTATGTAGCACTTTCAAAACAACTTGAGAGTGAGTTGATTTAATACTTTGTGGGTAGCAAAGTATCCGAGGATATACAGAACCAAAAATTTACCATTTCTTTAACAGGTACATTTATTTGTATGACAAGGAAATAAAGTTTTCAAATCAGACCCAGTGTATTGCACCAAGACTACTTTAAAAGCGTGTTTGTTGCAAGTTACTTTCTGTCAGACATCTGTGATTTTTTTCGTAGTCTCATTCCTTCTAATTTTTTTCAGTTCTTTACTCTGTATTTGCTGCTGTTACTGTGCTCTCCACTCTTCAGCCCAAAAGATGAAATGCATTTCCCTTCAAAAGCAGCTGTTACGTATTTAGCCGTTTTAACCATTCAGAGTCATTGGTCAAATGCAGAGCTCTGAGCTGTGCATCCTTTTTGTTAAGCCACCAGAACTCTCTTCAGACAAGTGATTCTTTGTTCAGCTGACCAGTTTGTGTGGGCATCTGCTTTGCAAATATAGCTATTTCTAAACTTGTAGTGATTTTGAGATAAAAAGCATCTGCAATTGTATTGTCACATCAAGTTGTTCTACCTGTATTCCTTAAATATTTAACAGTGAAACAGTTAAATATTTATCAAGGTTTATGTAATGACTGAGTAAGATTTGATTTCCAGCTTATCAGGTTCTTCATAAACTTAACTTTTTAAGGGCATCACACCGGTATTTGTGCCTCTGTTTGGACTGAATTTAGAGTATATACGGAAAGAAAAATGGTAACAGTTTCTATGGAACAACGTTATGTTTTTAATTATACTTGCCATGATATTAAAGCATATTACTCCAGTGCTGTTTAAAAGAGGCGTGTTTCAGAGATGAAGAGTTGAAAGCAGAAGTGAAACATCTGGAAGTAGGAAGCTTGGAAGGGAGAAATGGCATTGAAGGAAGAAAAAAAAGGAAAACAAATTCAAGCTTAGAGAAGCTGAGGGATGGGAAATGGAAATGACTCAGGAAAAAGATCTGTTGAAAGATGTGAATAGTTACAGTAGGGACTGTAAAGAACAAGAAATATAAATGAAGGTAAAACCTTATTCTGCTTTCTGTAATGAAGTTAAGCAATTTGAGTTGTTCTTTATATTATTGTTCTCTGGAACAGTGTGGTACTTCTCATAGTGTATTAATATACTGGTGTCCTCATAGATTATACAATTCTGGTTACACATCTTCCCCTTCAGATGGACACATTTGTAAACCCACTGCGTAACTCTATGAGAAATGTATCAAATGCAGTCAAGTCTCTCCCTGACAGCCTGGCAGAGGGAATGACTAAAATGTCAGACAACATGGGTAAAATGTCAGAGAGACTGGGACAAGACATAAAGCAATCATTTTTCAAGGTAAGAAAATATTTGGTAGTTAATACATACTAGTGAATTAATAGGAGATTAGCTATTGATTCACTTAAACTTCTGTTGTATACTATAATGAAGAGTGAAGTCATGGAAACTTGGAAACAGGAAGGCAGTCTGCTTTATACCTATACCCTTTTAAGAAGGAAAAAAAAAGCAGTCATTATACTACAAACATGGAGTAACACATTTTAACGTGGCATCTACAGACTGTTACAGGAATCCTTCTACACTTAATTCAGTGCAGCCACTTGAGAGGAATGAGGAAGTCACTGTTTTTTCTTACTTTTTTACCACCCATTCTCTTAAAGCTGGTTTGCTGCATCTGCTGCTTTCATTAGGAAAAAAAAAAAAAACATATATTGTGAAACTTAGAATAAGGAGATAGCTTCTTTTCTGCTTATTCCTTGCTGAATTCTGTTTTTAATTAAATTTTCTTTCTGTCTTTTCTGCCATCTTTCCTCATCTCTTATATTCCTAAAATGTAATACCTTAGAGGTGGGGAATGGTAACATGGCATGCTATCTAGAAGTTCTATGAAAGTAGTGATCTTCCTAACATGTCCTTCTTACCTTCTGTTCCCTTGCCCTCCGCTTTCTATGTGTAGGTGTAAGGTCTGTGATCAGGGATTGTTCCATTTTGTGTTACCAAAACAGTTATACGTGGCAGTTGTAGAACAGCAACCAAGAGGAGTTAACCCTTAAACCACAAAAGGGAATAATAAATCTGTGGTGTGGGACTCTTGTGGGTTTTTTGTTTGGTTGGGTTTTTTCATTACTTGTGAGATAAAATGGCTGGCTCTGGACTTTCTCATTGCTGATAGACTTCCCTGGTGTGTGACTCACAATGTATCTGCAGTTACAGTCACTGGGAAGTCTGTGACTAGGCAGGACTTAAGATCAAGAGGAAACACCAGAAGAAATATCAATCCCACATGAATTTCTAGGTGCTTTTCAACTGAAGCATTAGGCACTTATGGATTGTCTTAAAGGTGTTGATAACTTTGATAGCTATAGGAGAATACTTGCAGGCTTGATTTGCTGGAAGATGAAAAGACTGCTGTATATTTATCTGTGGTGGTATGCAACTGACTTTTGACCAAATGTTTGGTTTTCATTTTCATAACCAAATTGATTATGAAAATTGATCTGATTTATTGGTATTCTGAAGTATTTTTTTACTTCATAAACATTATCTTTTCATTGTAGGTGCCTCCTTTGATCCAGAAAACCTATTCAGATCCTGACCACTGCCGTGTTGCAGCACCAATTGATGACAATGTGAGTCTGACATTAGTCCTTTCAAAGTTGACTCCTCCAAAACCAAATTAATGAGTTACTTATTTTATGTTAAATTACATATTTATTGTTTTCTGATATTATACCAGACACTCACAAACACATCTTAACTTTTTAAAAAGACGTTTATGTTTCCTTCTAAAATTAACATCTTTCTTAGTACTAAAATGGTTTACACAACAGTGGAATAACTTAGAGTGTACATGCTACTGCTTCTGTGTGTTGTGGGTGGGGGCTTGTTTGGGGTTTTTTTCCCCTCCTCCCTCCAGTTTCTGTCTGTTCAAAGATAGTATGGTACCAGACTGCTAGCATCATTTCCGTTGGTATTTTATGGATTCTGATGTGATGTTTTAGGGGCATTTGTTCAATGGATCAGAAGTAGTGTTTGCTATGTTTTTATGAAAAAAACCAAACAAACAAAACCCAAAAACCTTTAGAATGTTTTCCTAAATAATAAACTTCTAGTACGTGGATACCTAAAATATATAAAGTAGTAATATTAGAAACTTGAAAGTAAAGTTTAAGCTCTTGATGTTGTTATAACCTATGTATTTTGCTATTGTTTTGGTTGAAACATTGATCATATATGTGAAAACAATTGAAAAAAACTTTTAAGTAGGACAGAAAGGCCATAAGATTACCAGTGATTATATGCAATTTGCTATGGTCATAAATCTGCACCTGTTCTGCCCTTCACGTTTCGGGTTTTTTGGTCACATCAAAGCATTCCAGTTTGTCTTCCTGTGCATAACTGCTGTGATGGCTTGGTAGATGTATTTTTGCTCAAATAACACAGACTTCAGTTCTTCTGGGTTTTCTTTTTCCCCATTATTTTTCACTATATCAGACTGTATCCGTAAATTCGTAATTACCAATGTGTATCTTTGATACTCCTGAGACTTCTGTTTTGCACAGGCAAAACAAAATAATATCATTCAAGTATATGAGCAGCTTTTCTGCAAATATTTCATTGATCTTCTGTAAAATGGATAGAATTTACAATTCTTAATAGATTCTAAGTTAACATACCAAGTGTTTGAAAGGCAGATTTCAAATGTTTTTAAAACGTTTCAGCTCTCAACTGCTCTTTTAAGATGCATTGCTCACAACTCACAGTCACTAAATCAGACAAAAAATGTGACAGTTTAAATGGAATTTTACGTGGAGAAGCAGTACTGTAAAAGTGAGGCATGGATCTATAGAATCTCCAGCTGGATTATGAATCCGCTGTCTGTGTTCCAGTTGTATATAAAGATGTACTTGCATAGTCCGCCAAAACAATGTCCACGTAGCTGTGAGATCTTGCTACTTCTTCCAGCGCAGGATTAACAATACAGTGCAAGCTACTGTGCTTCCAGGTAGAGCTGTATCAGATTTCAAATGCAAAACAAAAATCTGAATGTTATGCTTAGAATGTAAAAACCCTAATTAAAAAAAAAAAACAAAAAACAACAACAACAACAAACCCCAAAAAACAAACAAACAAAGAACACCCAGAGAAAGTGCATTCAGTCTTCAAATAAATTTTGCTGAGGATATAGTAAGATATTAATTGTAGCTTGCTATTCTATAAAGTTTTAATAAAAAAGATAAAGTTTAAATAATGAAGCAGTCAAAAAATCAAATTCACTTTTTGTATTTGAGATAAATATTTGTTGTCTCTTGTGCAATTCAACTGTAACTCCAAATGCTGTCTTTTTATGCAATAGCGTAACAATATGTAGGCTTGTATTTTGACATAGAAGCAGGCCATGAGAAGCTGCTGTTGTTGCTATAAAAGACACATTAATAACAGCTAGGATGAAAACCTAATACTTTCATACTACAGAATTTAGTAAACTCTCCCTCAAATTTTAATATTTAAAAAAATGTTGACAGTTACTGCAAGTGTATGCCATCCATCTTTAAAAACTTTTACATACTGAATCCTCTGTTTTAGGATTTCCATAAAAAGCTGTTATTTGTAAGCCAATCCGTGTAACATCTTCTATTAAATAATAAAATGATAATGCTTTTCTTAATCTACAGGCATAGAAGCACTTAATAGCCATGCAGGTTAGAACGATATCTAAATAGAAGGCAGTTCATTGCAGTGAAGTGTCCTTGTTCTTAGGAGGTTCTGAATTGGGCACAGTGCATCCATATGAAAAAGATGCCAAAGAAAAGCTCCTTCCAAAGTTTTCATGTTAGGCAGTTGGAAACACAGCTACCAAAAGAAGATGTCAGGAACAAGCTTGCTCTTTAGGACATATTTACTTGTATTAACTTTGTCCAGCTTTGGTGAAATAACTGTTTCTTTAGTCTTATTTTAAAAATTAAATGGATTTAAGCCAGTTTATCTTTAATTTTCAATTTTTCTTTGCTATTAGTGATGTTATAGAAGATTTAAGGAAGATTTCGTATTACAGTAAAATACAGAGCAAAGTGTTTCTCTTTGTTCTGCTTATTCTGAAGCATTTAACCTGTGAAGTAGCTAAGAGAACTGTATTTTTCTTGAACTGAAATAAAAGTTTACTGATTGTACTTTACTCGCTTGATCAGGTGGATGACAATATTCCGCTGAGAGTAATGCTCCTCCTTATGGATGAAGTCTTTGATTTAAAGGAAAGAAATCAGTGGTTAAGAAGAAACATAAAAAATCTGCTTCAGCAGCTTATTAGAGCAACATATGGTGACACAATTAATAGGTACTGCTTTTCTTATATAGAGTGATTGTGTGAATGAGACTATGTAGACTGTGTCTATAATTCCTTTTTGGTGTTACTAAATTATTGTGGTTTAGATCTGCATGCATTCCCCTTTGAAGAGGATCAATAAGCCAGGTACAAATGTGGTATAAAATGGAGATAAACACGAAACATTGCTGAAAGACAAATTCCAGTAACTCTTCTATGCCAGAGAACTTCCAAAAGAGCTTTCACATATCAACAAGAGTTCATGTTTCTGTGAATGTAACTTAATACTGATGGTGTCTGTGCTTTTTGTCCTGTGTTTTACACTATACTTCTTGTTGTTAATACTATTTATTACTTTCCACACTATTTCTGTTTACATCTCTTTGCCACAACTGATACACTGGCACTGTCAAATTGTGTGAACTGTACTGAGTTGCTATGTTAAGTTTTTGCTCTCACACTTTAAAGAGGGGGGGAAGGACTGTTATGGGGTCTGTTCTGCCCACACACACCCCCATCTTCTCTTGCCCTCAGCTTAGAAATCTACTGTTTCTAGGCTTTACCTTCTAATAATTTGTTTCTGAAATGTAAATAAAAATACAGAACAAAAAAAATTTCTAGAAACAGGATTGGCACTGACTTGTGACTTTGGATTAGTGCCATGGATCAAAAACTTAATTTCTGGCAGGTGAGAAGGAGTCTCCTATTACTTTTTCACGATATTCCTCACTGTATCATTACTTTTTACCCTTCACAAGTGTATTTTCGATGTTTTCATCATATCTAGACAGTTCTTGTGGTACCAGTAGTGATGCAGCCATGTAATAACAATAGCAGTGGGTGTTTTTCAAATGATTCCTTGTGGCCGGGTGACAATTATCTTGAGACCTGTGCTTCCAAAATCATGCTGCCCTTTGAACAACTCTGAATGCTTTTTGCTGTTTTCAGGTTGTAGTATAAGTAGCTGAGTTTGTGCACAGGCTGCTCTTTTCTTATTGCAGAGATGTGTGGAGAACTATTTTGCTTCTGCATTTGGAGCTATTCCAGATACGGCTTCCTCTGGTTCATTCTTGGGGTTTAATGGCATTCTCCAGCAAAATTATGTTTTCCTGTTTCTTAGAAAAATAAATTCAAATTATGTTTAGGGAAATAATCCTGGGATTATGGTGATACACAGATGCGTATATAATTTCTGTAAACATACTAGATTTGGACGTTAAGCTGTATGTATGTGTTGATGAATGAAGGTCAAAGTTTATGATTAGTCTGTATCTCCTGTTAAAGATCATGAAGTAACTGCATAAATAAGTATGGTATTTTGGGATTTTAAGTAGGTTCTTTGCTTACAGAAGCAGGACTTGAAGAGTGCTCCATGAATAGCAGCACTCTACAAGCAGAACATTTATCTAATGTTGATGGGAGATGCAATATCAGTTTTCCAGCCTGCTTAGTCATTGTACATTTACTCAAAAAGGAAAAAGGTTTTAGCTTTAGGAGTGATCAGTGAGCTTAGATTTTTATCTTGAGAATCAGTGTTTGCCTTCCTAGTGTGCAGCTTTATAGAACCTGCTAATGGAGTTGGAGAAAGCTGAAAGTATACTTTCTTTGCCCTAGAGTGCTCTTTAAAATGCTATACTTATTTGTTCTCTGCTTTAAAAAATTAAATGAGACACTCTTGTTGCTTTGATTTTTAGAAAAATAGTTGATCATGTTGATTGGATGACATCTCCTGAGCAAGTAGCAGATGCAGTGAAACGCTTCAGGTATGTCTTTTATAATAGATGTTAAATATGAAGTACTTGCCAGTTGATGTCTAATATCTGTGTATCCTTCCTATTCTTTTTATGTGAAGATATTATTACTGTACAGAATTCCAATTGGAGCATACACTGCTTTTTACTTGTGTTAAGTGAGAGAAAGTAATTGTCACATGAAGAATATTTTTGAGTGTTCTCCTCTTCCTTAAAAAGTTCTTTGTTAACCAGTCTAGAAGAGCTAAAGTATGGGTATACTTATGAATTTCATCATATTACTGGATGAAGTGTCTTGTTTACCTTGATGAAGGTATGTGCATGCCTTGCCTTAAAAGGCAATTGTTACTAAAAAAACCCTAGCTCTAAGCTAATATGTTTCGCATGTGGGCAGATACAACAGAACTGAACTCTGAGTTTGAAAGTATCAAAGGCTCTGTCGTTCTATTTCCTAAAAGTCATAGTGGCTTCTGCAATATTGCTGAGTGAGAGACACCTCCCTTGCATTTTCTTTTTTTTTTTTTTAATGGAGTGAAAGAGAGAAAAGTAGGATAACGTATTAGCCAAAGGGTCATACTTTACAGATACTGTGTTACTCTTTAATAAAACCAAGTGAGAATGTGTGCTTCTTACTCAGAAAAAGAATGTCATTCACTGAGGCAAAATGCCTTTTTAGACAGAGACATTGGGCTTTTGCATTGGGCTTTATACTCCACTGAAACTACTTCAACTCAGCTTTAGCTTGTTGATAGGTTAACTGCTCTCAGAGATCTAATGATGCAATTAATAGACCTAAGCCCAGAGTCTCAGTGGCAATAGAGACTGATTGGTAAAAGCAAATCTTAGGTATATTTTATTTAACAACTATGTGGTATTTGAATGTTTTTGATGTGTAATATTTTCTTAAAATTTTCTTTCATCTGATTCTTGTACTAAAAAAGTATATGGTAGCTACTAATAGGTTGAGTGTATTGTACTTCTTTACTTTTGATTTTTTTTTTTTTTGCCTTTGTCTAATATTTGAAGTGTGTGTTAGGTTGTGTGCAAATTACTTTCTTGTATTTGTTTTATGAGATAGTTTTGAGGGATTAAAAAGAGCCTTTCACTAGATAAAATTTTAATGTATTTTGACAGATTTGCTTTTGTTACAGAGATGCTTTTTGGCCCAACGGCATTTTAGCAGAGACTGTTCCACGGAGGGACAAAGCTATTAGAATGAGAACAAGAGTGGCAGGGAAGACCAAATTACTGGAGGTAATGCCAGGTAAGTGAGTCTGGGATTGAAGCCTAATAATTCTTACCATATATTGTTGCTGGAATTGATGTCAGTATTCTTGCTGATTGTTGAAATGTTGACATATGAACTGTATTTAAATAAAAAGGTTTTTAATTATTAAAGCACTGAACATTTTCACGTGTACTGTGACTTTGCAACTGTAATTCTCTTAGAATCAACCCGGTGTATTTAGTTTCACTAGAGGATTTGAGTTTGGTGCATGAAATACCTGTATTCCAATACAGCATGATTTCATGTAAACATGGTTCCACATATATAGTGTGAAAATGAAATAATTTTCAGAAATCCTTTCTGCTGTAAGAGAACTTTTAGTTTAGTCATGTTACATATAATAGAGGCACTGTTACTTCAAATTCCAAGTTATGTAATTTGAAAGACTTAGTATTCAGTTTAAGTTTGTTGTTAACACAGAAGCAGAATTTAGCTTTAACTTCTATGTAACTTTCATTTTTGTAGATGAACTGAAGCACATCATAGGCGCTGAGACAACACGGAAAGGCATTCTTCGGGTCTTTGAAATGTTCCAGCACGCTCAACTGAATAAGAGAATGGTGTACGTGTTTCTGGAGAGATTCCTAGAAACCTTATTTCCACAAAATAAGTTCCATGAGCTCTTCAACAAACTGCATTCACGGTCAAAGCAGATGCAGAGGTATAAGCAGAGACTACATTCTACTCAAGCGCCTTCCTTGCAGAAAAGGTGACACTTCAAACCTATTAAGCTGGTGTATGTTTGTCCAGGACTAATTACTTGGGCAGATTCTCTGGGGCTTCAAACTCACATGCTGTTATTTCTGCACCAGTCTTCTAGTGTCACATATTAGATTATTAATGCATCTGTAAGACCTGTGGATCTTCTCATCTTCACTTGTAATTCAACCACTACCAGAAGGGTTTGTGTGTCTTAAATGATTTGGTGCGTCTTCATGCAACATTGAGAAGAATACTGGCCCGTTATATAAGAATGCTGATTCCTTCCGTTCCTGAGTCGATGTTTTGCCAGCAATGAAAAGTGCCAGACTGTTCAAGTAAAGCACAACTATGGTGATACAACGGAAGAAAAGGATGTTTTGGCACTGGGAGATAGTGCAATGTGTGAGAATCAGGTGGAATTGTTCTACATTATGAGTGTTGAGGCTCTGTAGGGCTCTTTTTTAACATTCCTGTAAAGGCTGAGCTAACAGGAAAAGCAGTCTCTGGAATAGCAGGTTCATAGGAGAGGGGAGAAATAGTTATAGCCCCATCATAAAAGTACATTTATTAAAGAAAAGTTGAGGTAATGTGGCATAAAAGCCACATTTACTTCACCTTTCATGTTTTGAAAAATAAACTAATGTTAGATCTAGTGGGGGTTTTAGTAAAGGCAGAGGTGCAGTAGAAATAAACCCTTTATTCTGATTATTCTGTAGCTTTAAGGGCCATATTCTGCTCTTATAGCACCTGGCATACATTTTGCATGTAACTTCAGTGGAGAAGGGGCATCATATTTATGTTCAATTGGCGTATTTGAACATATGTCAAGTTGATAGTTGTAGAAGGAAGGGGGTACATGTTTCAAAGAGGATAGACATGTTAGAAGATGAGGAAATTGCACTAAGACACAGTTTACACACAACTCCCCACTAAAATTTGAAACTCTTTTTGGGCGTAAAAGACTGTCCTACTTAATTGAAAGGTTCCTTACCTTTTAGTGTGTAAGCCTGATATGGAAAAATATTAGAATTAGTTGGTTCCTCACAGGTAAAGGATTTCATTAGTCATATGCAAACACTTGGAAATTCCTGAACGCATGTCAGTGTATATATGAAAATAAAAAGGAGATAAAACTACAATATTTTTTTAAATAATTTTTTTATTTTTTGCATAGTGTAAAATTTTAATAAAAATTTGACATCAAGGCCCCACATCCATCTGTTTAGTTTCATTGAAGAATTTCTGTCCAATTGAAAATAAAGTAACAACCGAATAATCCTGTTTGGCCACAGCATATCTCAGTTTGTGTTTTCTTTTTCGTAGTCCCCAACTGTTTGAGCACCACTACCTGGATGAATAGAAAGTAATCCTATAGAGTCCGTTTTTTTCCTGAACGCTAAACACAGGGTAAGATCCAGCTATTGATCAAGGATCCTTATAGTAATTTGTGTCTTAATGGGAACAAATGATCCTTTTATGTGAGGGAGGAACATAGACCTTTTATGAAAGCGTTCTAAGAGAAGATAGAAGGCTCTCAAAGGACCTAGTTAAATTGACTGAAGCCTCTATATAGATCATTTTTTCTCATGGACTCTATTAATGCAATGTAGCCTTTTATCATACTACTTAATGATGATCATATTGTGCTGTTAACATTCTCATACAGTATGCATGGGCTCAAGTGCACTTGTTTTTTTCTTTATTGCAGAACTAAATACTGTAAATGAAATCCCTTTCTTTTATAATCCCTAGGAGGACAAGTTGGTAAATATGTAAAAACCTTTCCCCCTTCCTCTCTGCAGGTTCTGTAGAAGCGTGATGATTAAGCGCTGTTGAATTTAACAAAATTGAGTTCTGTGTGAAGTAATCAACATAGCCAGCTCCTATTGTTTACATGCCTGTATCTTCCTCTGATGTTAGGGTACTCAAGCATACCTGACATCTGACGGATGAAAGATCGTTCAGCAGTTGTTTTTGGCGATATAGTAAATATATCATTGATCCTACCAAATCTAATTTATGTCTTTTAAATCACTGAATTTGTTATACAGTATGAAAGTGGGAAGTTCAAATACTGTTTTGTCAAATCTGTGGAACCTTTTCTCTATCTGTAGGTACCATGAAAAATTTCAAGAGAATAGTGATCATGTGCAAATTGGGATTTTTTTTTTTTTTTTAGTTATCTGGTACATTTCTGTACAAAAATAATATAATATCTCTAGGAATGTGAACTGAACATAATATGCCATGTTTATTAGTCATTTTACTTAATGAATTTATCACATATATATACCTATACACACATTTACATACATGTGTGTGCATATGTATATATGTATTGAAGTTTTGTCTTCTGTATTTAATTACAGAATGTGGCTTCCTAATTCAGTGGTGCCTGTTGGCTGGCAAGAATCATCAGAAATGAGTATTTTTTTGTTAAAAAGAGTTTGTATGTGTCTTTATTTAAATGGTTTTCGTGTTGACAATTTAAAATACCTGCCCTGTCAACCCACGCAGCCTATTACCCTAGAAAGTCTCCAAAACTGAATGTTAATATACAGCACTTAAGTGTCTGGGTATATCTTCTGGCCTTTCGGGTGCTGTGACTGGCCGCTGAAAATTGTGCCATCGTCAACAAATGCACTTGTTTTAGCCTTAATTATTTTTAAGAGAAAATGAGCAATTGAACTTTTCATTTGGTTCATCCTCAAGCTTGTGCTGCTGGTGTTTGCTAGAACTAAACAGTAAATTTTAAGTGCTACCAGAATGTGTACCAAAATAAAATTATATGAATTCCACGATCTAAATTTTAATTTTGTGCAATATTTTCATTTAATGCATGTGTATTTGAATAACTGTAAAATAAATGAATTTTTAATGTTTTGAAGTCTAGGTTAAAAATGTCTTCTCAGCTGAACAATTTTGCATTCTGTTGTTGCATTAGTTTATTTAAGGACTTGTTTTAAAAGTCTTATTTGTTACTCCTTTGTTAATTCCCTTGTTCTCAATGATCCTTGCTCATCTGAGCAAAGCTCATATGTTACAAGGGAAAAATCTGAAGAGCACATCTCATGAATATAGCTGTTATAAATTACTTGTGCATATCATTGTACAGTAAGTGTCAGCTGTGTGCCTAATTGTTCTATTGATGCTTTTTCCCTCCCTTCCCCCTCCTCTCGTTTCCGTAACAAAGAATGAACATGAAACAGGCTGCCATGGTCACTTCTACTGAATGGCAGAGGACTCTGAATTTTTTTTTTTTTTTTTTGGAGTTTGCATTTATGTTCTGTCCAATAGAAAGCTAAAAAATTACACTAATAAAGTATTAACAGGAATATTATGAGTTTCTGTTTATTTGTAAAATAACTTTCTTGCTAGCAGGTACAAATGTTCCTCAAGTCTGGGAAAAAAAAGTCATTAAAGATAAAAATATTGCAGTTAAGTGCTGTTTAAATAAAAGTCATTCCTTGATTTTTTTTTAGACAGTTTATAATCTGGTTTTGCTTTTAACAAATTAATCTCTACATTCATTTTCAACCAGTATTTGCAGAGTCTCCTGTGTTTTAAGAGGACATATGCAGAAACAGTGGGATTGTATGGTGTAGGAGGTTTTTTTTTTTATATTGTTCAGTTTTTTTACTCTTTGGCTTTTTCCCCCTGGGTTTATTTTTGCAGCAGCTGGATCTGCCATGGGAGCACAATTGTTACCCTTGATATATTTATTCCAGCTGTTTCACATTCATCAAAAAGATGTCCTGAGCTACAGAGATGTTAGTTCTTTGACCCTAGGGTAAAGTGTTTACCGCTTTCACTAACTTACACGCTTTTGCTACAGGATATAAACACATCTTAGGAATTTCACTAGCTGATTGCAAGTTCCTATGTGCTGAAGCTCTTATCCTAGGATAATTTTATGGCAAGAAACCCACTCCATTATAAACTTTTTTAAAAATATCTGCCGTTTGCTAAGTGAGGCTAATACGTGTCTGTGGCTTATATAACTCTCCAGTCTGTCACATTATCTGGTTTATATTCGTTTTGATGTCTAGTGAATGTGTGAGGATTGCTAAAGTTTTTGTAAAATTCAGGCATCAGCATCACTCTGCATCGATTTATTTAACTACAAATTTCATGGTTTATCTCTTGGAAGAAAGGAAATTATGTAGTGAAAACAGTTCACTTTTGTTAAGTACTTTGAAAGAAATTAAGCTTTATTTTCATGAAACATTTGAAAGATCTATGCCACTGCGGTTTCTCCCCCATGCACACAGAAATATGTTTGAATGCTTTCATATTAAAATATCTCAAATAACTGTTTCCCATGCCATGTCTCTTTGAATTACTATGGCATGTTGGGGTTGGGATAATTTGCATGGGTCAGTTAAATTATCTGATATCTGGTTCAGAAAGGGCTAACTGGAATTCTCATTTGCCATTTTGGAATTGGAATAGTACATAAATTAATTCTGAGGTTGGGCTTAAGTAGAGAATGAGACTGTATTGAATTGTTGGCAATCAAGAGCTACTTATTGGGAGTAAGGAGTGCAGCTTTCAAAAATGGACTTGCTCTTTCTTACCGTAACACTTTTAAAAGCAAGTCCTGAGTAGTCTTTTGAGTCTGTGTTCTGAATTTTCTCAGCTTGAGGTCTAGAAACACGCTAATTCTGAATTAAGTCGAGAGATACTGATGGAATTTTCTGTTACTGGGAAAAAAGAACCTTACTGGAGTTCTAGGTGAGAGATTCTGATAAAATTGTGAGAATTGGGAACACGCTTCTTCGTTTAGAACATGTGGAAGACGGTTGTGCGAGCTACCTAGTTATTCCATGCACAGAATAGCCAGAACTTGAAAGAAATTTTTACTTTTTTGTTCTTTTTCTTAAAATAGCCAGCCAGTACTGGGGTAGGTGCAAAACTTGCTTTCCGCAAGTCAGCTCACGTTAGCAAGCTACAGATTTCTTATTTTTCAGCTTGAAGGTGAAGTTAGAATTTGATTATCAAACACAATATTTCCCTTTTTGTTTTCAAGGACTTCATATGAAACATTCCTTTATAGTCTGTTTAAAAAATTGGATTCACATTTTACCTGCTCAATGCTGTAATATCTGTGTTGATTTAAATCACTGGCTTGCCAGTAATCCCCAACATCATTCTTGCAAAGAAACAAGGCCTGCTTATACCTAATGTAAAAACACAAAAGGTATTTTGGGGAGAA